TGGAGAGAGGTGAGGGTCCGAATCTCTGCGGGGAGTTCGTTCCAAAGGGCCGGAGCTGCCACAGAGAAGGCCCTCCCCCGGGGTAGTAGCCAGATGACATTGGCGAGTAGACGGAACCCGGAGGAGGCCTGCCCTGTGTGATCTAATGGGTCTTTGGGTGGTAATTGGCAGCAGGCGGTCTCTCAAGTAACTTGTGTTGCTGTAACATTCACTTGTGCAGTTCGATGAAAGAAATGGAGCAGTATATTTTAAAGCAACATTTGGTCCTTGGCGTTCTGACCATGCCAGCTGAGGTTCACGTGGAGGTTTAGATGAATGTTTGGCATAGTGGCACTCTGCCTAAAGCATATGTCCACTCAGGAACGTTTTAATCTCCTAATTTAACACAGTTGGGGAGTCAGCTGTAAGCATTTGCTGAAAAAAAATATATGGTCTAATGCTGGACTGAGCAGCTGACTCTGACTATGTCGGACAAATTCCTACTCAGTGATTACAGCAGCAGATGGCCAGGAGTATAGGAAAGACTGGAATTTGTCCACCTGTTTTTAAAGTGGCCTTATTGGAAAATAGAGACCATTGTGAATTTTTCTCAGATCTAATATCAGGACAGGGATACATGGTCTGCTTTCAATGAAGTAAGTTCCTTGATTAGACTATCATTTATTCAGATATAATAAAAATAGCAGAAGTAAATTGAAAATCGTGTTCAGTGATAAAGGTGCTGATAGGTAGTGTGCAGAGCACAGAAAACTCATGTAATTTTATTCCCTGGTGTATTTCTAAGGAAAATTCCTCAAGTGAGGATTCATACAGACAAAATACCCCATTTATAGCAGCATTTAAATTTCCTTTCTGCCTGCTCTGGTCATTTTTCCTTCCCCAGACTGAAGCAATACATGATCTTCTTTTTTTTTTAAATGCCATCAGATATGAAAAAAATCCATTTAAAATTAATAATCAGCTTTACAGAATAGTTCTCTCATGCTTTCCCAGGACAGAATCTAAAGGCATTTGGGTAAAGTTTTATTTCTTCAACTTCTCAACAATTTCATGTTACAAAGCACTCACAGATATTTCAGCAAAAAGGTTTTATGATCACCATTTGAATTTTAGTATTTTAAAAACAATGAGAGTAAAAGTGAAGCTCAGTAATGACACGGTTGTTTATAAACCATTTTAATTTATTCTTAATCCTTGTTATGGTTATAACGTTTAATAGTAACATTGCATCATATTGTCACACTGTAGAAAAGGTTATGCTTTCCAACAGGGCAAAAGTCAACAGCTCGTCTATAGCTGTTTCCTTTCCAGTTGCCAGGAAGATTGCAAAGAAAGCCACCAGCAGTTTATAGCATTGTTCTAGGAATGTAATATACCAATACAATTGACTTAATGTACAAGTTAATAATTCTATAAATGCAGTAGAAATAGTTCCATAGATTCCTCAACGTGGTTGGCAAAAATGACTCCAACATATACCTATTTGAGGAAATAAAACAATTATGCCTATGCATGTTAATAAAATATTACATTTTTACATTCAAAATACCTATAGGTTCCTCTTATTAATTTTCTGGTCACATACAAGTAACTTGAGTGACTCCATCTTCTTGGTCAAACTGTCCTTCCTCCAGTTCTCTAAGCATGCCATCGCTGCTCTTGAACGCAGGGAAGCTTCCATACTGGGCAGATTCATCCTTGGGCCAACACTGTGGAGAAGGTGCTATATGGAAATCCTCTGTAGGTTGCATGTGCTGGACAGGCTGAGAAGTAGCTGTGTCTGATCCAACTTTTCCACTTATGTTCAACTTTTCTTCTCCAAATTGCTTA